CACATGAGGGCCAGTTGTTCTGAAGCCAATTAACCTACCATTATGTTGTTGGGACTGTGGGAGGAAACAGGAGCACCCAGAGGAGACCCATGCAAAGATGGGGAGAACATACAAACTGCACACAGATAGCTCTCCAGGTCTGAAATCTACGACCCAGGGTCCCAGCACTGTGAGGTAGGAATGTTAATCACTGCACCACCATACACCCAAGTTAGCATCCTGAAAGTTATATACTGTATGATGCTGTTCAACTTTTTCATTGTTTTTGACTCTAGAAAAAAAAAACAGGTAGTAAAGGTGCTACAATAAAAGTGTTCTGAATAAAGTCCCGGATCGTATAAAACAGCATTAAACATAGTCTTTGTAATGTTCATTGGAAACAATACCTTTGCATCAGTGTTATCCTCAAACTGCTGCTTTATAAAAGTATCAAAGGCATCCCAGTGATTGTCAGTTAGATTCCCACCTACTGACCACAGGTAGCAGAAAAGAAATGTCTGGCAGAGGACAGGGCCTAATTTAGTCAGGTCCTGTATAAGACACATACAAAAAATATTTATTGCATATAACACTGAAACACACTTTATATAGAAATAGAATTTATCAAATTGCAAATACTGTAGATGCATCTTTAAACTACTTGAATTTAAACTACTTGAAGAAACAGTAAACAGTGGCACCCAGTGACCAAAGACAATATACAGTATGTGCTCCAGAAAGGAATAATTTATTACAAGCAAGTCTACTTCAATTTCTTACATCAAACATTGCATATATAAAAATATGTATTGCAGGTACTACATTTATATGAACTATTATAGAGCTGTAGCACTGGGGCCAAATAATAATTTTACCATGTACGCATGCAGTACTCTTTTTTAAATTATTTATACAAATTAGACTCTAAACTAAATTAAAATCTCTTCCTGCTCCGCTTCTTTCAAAGAAATGCCATTCAGTGCTTTACCATATTCAGATCAGGTCCTCCCTGGCCAAGTAGAAGAGATTCCAGCAGACAGCAGAGTGTTGTGACTTTACTGATGTCCACTTGCACCATGGCTTGAGTGCACTTCTTAGCCACAAACTGCAATCCTTTCTCAACGTAGCGACTAAAAAGATCCAACAGGTACTGCCTCTTCTCTTCCGACAACTGCAAGGGACAAATGTTAAAATATGTGATTAAATATACATCAAACAGGCACCCTATAAAATTATGAGAAATCAGACCATAAAGAAAGTCAAGGAACAAGAACACAGCAGTTTTACACTTTACCACATTTTTAGACAATTGCATTACATTTCATAGAAATGGTTGTAGTTATTTAATCAATAAAATATCAAATTAAACCTAAGATTAAATTAGTTTAAACATTTAATGTTGAAATTAATCAATATTGTTTTCCAATTGTTTGGAAGTGATGATTTTATAATATCATTTATCAGTGATAATAAGCACATTAACATATATATTCTTTAAATGAACCTCAGAGGTTTAACATTTTTGAAACTGTGTTTTAAGTGATACCTGTCACCTTCAAATAAGTTTTAGAAAGTAAATGTTTTACTGTGCGCTGTAAAAGGTAGTTATAATACATGTTCATCAAATACAGTTTAGAGCTGTAACATCTAATATTTCTCCAGCTTCTACCTTAAGTTGTTTTTCCCGTTCCTGCATATTCTCTAATTTCCTGTTCCTGCACATTCTCCCATTTTTCAAAATTCATTTGATACATCCTCACCAAATTTCGTTAGTTATTATACTTCTCATATTTTAGCACAGCTTTCTTTTTAAGTTTTTGATCATCCGATGGCACCTTAATAATTTTGTGGCTTGTGACATTTCTTTGTTATGGAAAACAACACTAAAACATTTATCCCATTTGTAAAATTCACGAAAAAATCTGTGCTTCTAAAGGGAGAATAATTGTTTGTTTATGTTTAAATTAGGTGGTTACATAATAAAAGACTGAAAGGCCGAAGTTGATATTTCTTTCAAGGCTAATGCTTTAGTTACAAGAATAGATGGCTTACTCTTTGGGAGAGCCCAGTAATCCATGTCTGAACATATGGCATCCATTTCAGTTCCTCAGAGTCAATGTAAACCATTCCACAACGGCTAACAGTTGCTGGGGATGCAACCTTTAGATCCTGGACCTGAAAGATTGACAGAATAGTTCAGAGGAGCATTATCAACATTTGAGTAACACACAGAACCATAACAAATTACTAATATTTCCACAGATAAAAAAGAAATACGTCAAACACACTTCATCTAGAACTGTTAAGATTACCCTGACAATGTACAGTATATGCTGAGTAATGTTTTAAATGAAAAAGACAGTTATTTACAGTCCATTACAACTTACTTCAAACACCATGTGAATGGATGGTGTTAGCTTGATTCTTTCACTGTTTGCTAGGCACAACATCTTGTTATCATCTAGGACGGTGTTCATATTCTCAATCCACAGGGCATCTACAGGCCCGTCGCTAACGATCCACTTGTGATCTTCCGTAGTGTCATTGACAGCAGCTCGGACACTGAGAGCCATCAGGCCATCCCTCCACTCCAGGGTCAAAGTGTTCACCTCTCCATAGAGCTCTCCCATTGTGACCGATTTGGGGTTCAGCACATATGTCTTAACAAGCTGGTAATAGGGATTGCTATTCCCTAATTTATACAGAGTCCCTAGGGTGTCTGCAAGGATTGTGTACACAGTGGTTTTGCCGCCTCCCGTCGGCCCCACAAGCATAACGCCATGGCGCACAATCATTGTCTCGTACAGCTGGATGACTTTGAGGATCATGGTAGGCACAGGTTGCAAGCCGCGTTTCAGCATCATATCCACGATGGTTGACTGCAGAATGCCATAATCGTGATCTGGAATAGTTACGCCCGGAAAGAGGTCTGAAAGGATCCCGCTGGGAAAGAAATTCATATAAGTTACACTTCAGCATTTGTCTCCTGTCATCGTTTCATTTTCTGACAGCAAACAGGAAAGTTTTCACTTTTAATATGTCACTTCATATTGTGAGATTCCCTGAAACTAACCCAACACAATCTGTACTTAAAAGCCAGGTGTTAAGGGGAGAAAAAAGCTACATTTCCAAATGTAACTTTGATCCTTTTTAAAACATGAAATCAAATGTTTGAATAATAACCAGTATCTTTCTTTGTAAAATCAGCTCATTGTTAAGCATGTTTAAAGTTCACAGAATGTATTTTTCAGCAGGTGTCAACTAATTTTGTGTGGTAATTTTTGTGACATTAAAATTTGTGAAACTGACAACTTTAAGGCCTCCAACCCCGCTCAATGGTTGAAATGGAAAGAAAATAAGCATGTGGAAAGCAAAGTCGGACATGTCCACAATGTAACTTTGTTCCTTGACTCTCCTGAAACTGGACAAAATTTTACGACACCAGTAAGACAATCTAAACATGGAACCTGAAACTGTTCATACCAGGGACCTAATTGAAAGCTTCTAAGAATGTCCGTAACAACAAATGTTGATACATTTAACAGAAAGGTTTATGGTCAGCACTCTTGTTATGATTTTGTATTGAATGTGAGACCTTATGCAGTATGTGTCTCCTTTTGTACAGAAGTCTATACCAACACCATTGTGTATTATACAGTATGCAGGACTTCAACTAATTAAACATCTCATTTAGTCTTAATGTATATCTGACTTTAACAATATACTGATTTAAAATCTATAGGGAGAATAGTTTAAAAATAGAAAAACAACAGTACCTGAAAAGCATAGCATCATCTGTCAGGAATTTGGGAAGATTAGAGTCTCGCAGAGCTCTGATTAATACAACATCTTCACTGAGATGAGGGTTCTCTCGTTTTAGGGACCTGCATATAAATCATTTGTTTCATATATTGCAAAACAAAAAACTTGTTACATAATTATATTTTTTTCAAAAACATATCCCCTGGTAATTTATATTTTCATCATTACAGAAGATACAATATGATAAAAGTCTACACCAGAATAAAACAGCCTCAGTCACTTTATAAAAGAGTGAGATATACTGTAAGGAATCTCAGGTAAGAGAAAATGTATGTTTTACATTCTCTTAAAAAATTGATTCAAGTTAATTATATTATCTGTCATTCATCTTATGATATACAGATGTTCTCTAGTTTATTATTCATAACATCAAACACATGACTGCTGCATCAATACTGGATCACTCCTTCTACATTTGAAAAGTAAATATTTTAAAATATTTTTTTTTCTTATGCTTGATGTTTAACTAAAGATCCAGCTTGTACTTGTCACACACACCAGCTTTCTTACCCTGCCATGACCAGCACTGACTTAACAGCCCGCATCCCAAAGTCATAATGATCCTGCTGTGAGAGCTGTTCACTGCACAGTTTGTACATTTGAGTCATCTTTCTGGCCAGAGTTTTACTTGATTCAAAACCTTCGGAGTAAAGAATAACCTGAAAGACAGCAGAAATCATACTTTCTATGTAAGCAAATATGTAAATAAAGAGCTTATTAATAAACACATAAAAAGGTATAATATAAAACCTCCTGGTTAAGAGCTACTCAAGATCGAGCTGTCTCAGAAAGCCCCCTTTGAAATGCCTCTAAATAAATTCATTTTCCTCTTTAACTAATACTATGATTTTGGCTTTAACAAGAGCTAGTAATCAAATAAAACACGCTGACAGTTAACTGAAATTAACTTATCAGTCATTGTGCTTTTCCCTTTTATGTATGTTTGAATGAAGTAATAATTTTGAATAACAGACTTTTATATCTTGGCTGTTTTTAGGTCTAAAGTTAAGCATGAAAATATCAAAATAAATTCAAGGAA